GCGGACACCAGTCTCGGCAATCTTGGCCTTCAGGGAGGCCCAGTCCCAGAGATCGGTAGGGGTGCGGTCCCACATATCGTACTGCAGGATGCCCTGCGAGACGGGAGAGCCAGGGTAAGTCTCATAAGGACCCAGCTTCTTGGCAATCTCGGCGGAAGCAGTCAAGGCACCGTGGTAGATGGTCTCGAAGATCTGGATGTTGAGTTGTCTGGCCTCGGGAGAGTCGAACGGCAGACGCAGAGCCAGGAAAGCATCAGCGAGACCGTTGACACCGAGAGCGATGGGGCGGTGACGGAAGTTGCTCTTCTTCGCCTCAGGAACGGGGTAGTAGTTGATATCAATGATCTTGTTCAGGTTGTGCACGAGAACCTGGACGACCTCGTGGAGCTTGCCGAAGTCATACTCGCCTCGCGCAGAGTCGACATAGGTGGGGAGGGCGAGAGAAGCCAGGTTGCAAACAGCCACCTCATCAGGGGCACTGTACTCGATAATCTCAGTGCACAGGTTAGAGCTGCGAATAGTACCCAAGTTCTTCTGGTTACTCTTCTTGTTGCAAGCATCCTTGTAGAGCATGAAGGGGTTACCAGTCTCAGTCTGGGCCTCGAGAATGGCGTACCAGAGCTTCTGAGCCTTGATGGTCTTGCGGCCACGGCCCTCCTGCTCATACTTGGCGTAGAGAGCCTCAAACTCGTCACCGTAGACATCAGCCAGGCCAGGGGCCTCGTTGGGGCAGAAGAGCGTCCAGTCACCGTTGGCCTCGACGCGCTTCATGAAGAGATCGGGGGTCCACAGAGCGTAGAAAAGGTCACGAGCGCGAACCTCCTCCTTACCGTGATTCTTGCGCAGATCGAGGAACTCGAAGACATCGGCGTGCCACGGCTCCAGGTAGATGGCAAATGCACCAGGGCGCTTGTTACCACCCTGATCCACATAACGTGCGGTGTTGTTAAACACACGCAGCATAGGAACAATACCGTTGGAGGAGCCGTTGGTTCCAGCAATGTAAGAACCGGTAGCGCGAATGCGGTGGACGTTGAGACCGATACCACCAGCGGTCTTGGAGATCATGGCACAGGTCTTGAGAGTATCATAGATACCCTCAATGCTGTCTGCGCTCACGTCAACCAGGAAGCAAGATGCAAGCTGGGGTTGGGGAGTAGCGGCATTGAACAGAGTGGGGGAGGCGTGAGTGAAGTACTTTTGGGACATCAAGTGGTATGTCTCAATGGCCTTCTCAATGTCCTCGCCGTGAATTCCAACAGCAACACGCATCAGCAAGTGCTGAGGACGCTCAGCAACATTGCCGTTGATCCGAAGAAGGTATGACCGCTCGAGGGTCTTGAATCCGAAGTAGTTGTAGTTGAAGTCACGGTCGTACACAATAGCCGAGTTAAGCTCCTCAGCATGCTTCATAACGATCTCGTAGTGTTCATCTGAGATCATAGGAGCGGGCTTATTGTTTTTGGGGTTGACATAATGGTAGAGATCGGAGATGACCATGGAGAATTGCTTTTTTGTTTGCTTGTGGAGGTTCGAAACGGCGATACGTGCAGCCAGAATGGCGTAGTCGGGGTGTGTAACGGTCATGTATGCAGCGGTTTCAGCAGCCTGGGATTGAAACATTAATATAATGCCATAAGCCGGGGGCAAGCAAGTGAACATACCAAGTTGTCTAGCTCAACGGTGCCAACACCCTGGTAGACACCAGAGATCACCTTCTGGGTGATGGCTGCGGCATCAACGTGCTCGGGGTCAAGGCCATAACAGAGCCTCGAGACACGTGCGGTGATCTTGTCGAACTGCACGCGTTCCTTGCGTCCATCTGCAGTTTGTATTCGCGTTAGCCGTCGATCCAAAAAGTGTGGCAAAGCCAGGTAGCTGTGGCGAGATGAAGGAGCAGAAGCTATCTCTTGCCACGAATGCTTCCGTGTATCACAAGACCATATATGCACTTACCTCTCTTATAGACAAACATTTTGAATAGTGATAAGTTGGTAGTTGAAATAATAGAAAGACGAGAACAGGGTATCAAAGTCAAAGTAGTAGGAGGATTGAGATGCTATTAGAATATAGAGAAAGGGGGAAAGATGAATGTATGAAGCCCGTAGAGGGGTGTGAGAAGAAGAAGAGATCAGAGGGGCAGAGGAATCTTTGGTTGCCGAGTGGACGCGTTGTCTTTTCGCGTTGCCCGCGTTTTTTCAGCTTACCAAGATCGGGTCCACCTTTCCTTGCAAACCTGCATCCTGCCAGGCAGAAACATCCATTTATACCACTTGCAGTTAGCGTCCTGATCCGAATGGCCTTAGCGTGGGGTTTCTAGTTAGAATAGGGAAGGCGGTGTGACTGGAGAATAGGCGGTGAGATTAGGTTTGCAGCCGAAACTGCAGATCGCGAATGGTCACGTGAACACGCGAAGGATCGCGCATGGCAACATGGCAACGGAAGAGCTGTCGCCGAGCGGCCTGAAGCATTCCGGCTCAGATGATCTTTAAACGTCATTACGAAATTAAAGTGCTTTTTGACAACTTGAGCCTTACGCCCGATATGTCTATGTCAACATCATCCCAACCTGGAGCCTTGCTGCATTGTACACGTCAATGTGATAGATCTACATCGTCCTTCTAATCAAGGGGCCAAGAGGTGCGGGAATGACCGCAGGAGTACTTCGGATGTACTCCGTACTGCTCGTTCTCTTCTATTAGGGAATGTGCTGGCATTTTTTGGTCACTGATTCATTTGAATCTGTTTACATCGACCGACTGATTGGCAATTGAGCAGACCTCAACGGTTTCAAGAATTGTTCTGGGAAAGTGAATAGCACATAAATCAATGCGATTTTGGCAAATAAGAAGATAAAAGTTCACGGGGTTCAAATATTGACATAGACGAGCAACATATCAGAATTCGAACAACATCCCTGAACAACGATTCAATTCAGATCGAAAGGAGCAAAACCAAGGCTAATAATATGCTCACATCGATATTCACGTTGAGCCGCTGTCAGTTAATGCTGAATTCTTACAGCAAAGCAGCAGCGCCGAGGAACACCACGGCAACAAAGCTGGTGGCGGAGAAGTGGCGGTCGGACGCAGCGGCATTGAAAGTAGGAGAAGGGGACGCGACGACACCAGACTCGGAGGCGGTGCCAGTGCTGATCGCCGAGGTACCGGTAGCAGGGCTAGAGGCAGTGCCAGTAGCAACGGAAGCACCAGTCTGGGTAGCAGGGACAGAGGAGACAGCGGTGACGAAGCCGGTGGCAGTAGAGCCCCCAGCAGTGCCGGTGGCGGTAGAGATATCAGAAGTGCCGGTAGTGGTGGAAACATCAGCCACTAAAGAGAAGATAATAAGTAACCGATTCAGTGATATAGTGCAACATGCTCTCGGATGTGTCGATCCTTACCAACTTTGTGGCCGAGCAGGGCGCAGTTGTTGACGAAGAATTTCAGGGAAGCCTGGCTATCGGCACAGTTCTTAGAGATATCGGACTGGATCTTGCTAGCGCTCGAGCCGCAGATAGTCTTTGAGTCGGCCGGGTTGGCTTGGTTGCTAGATGTCATCAGCTTAGGACTCCACTAGCATTCCTTCCATTCCTTCGGAACATACCCGATGATCTTAAGAACACAGGCTGGGGTTTGCACGGTAGTGGCAGTCACGACATTAGCCAAAGCCACAATGGCCACGGCAAAGATGGACTTGTTGAAGAGCATGGTGAAAGATTAGAGATCGGAGATCGAAATCGAAATTGGAAATTGGATAATAAGGGATTGGATTCAAGATCGCACAGCGAGTCTAGAGTAAAAGAACGTGTGGGCTAAAGAGCGACTGTAAAGAGTGTGGGAAAGTGGAAGACAAAGAGTGACGAAGTGGTAAGGAGGATAAGGTCTCAACCAGAGGAAAACGGGGGGGGGGAAGGGGAAATCGGGCAACCACAGTTTCATCACAATCTCAAAGCCACGATGGGGGTCAGGGTCTGTTATATTACATTCATGTCCGTACAGTGATGTACTCCATTGCGGGTGTTTTATATTAAGTGTACTTTACAATACGGTTCTCTTCATACCGTATACTAGTTCCCCATGGCTTGTGGAACTTCGGCTCCCAAAGTGGTTTAGCGTCAGGGACCTGTCCCCGGATACAGGAGAGAAGCGCCTCCGTTCCTCTTACGGTGTGAGAGTATCGATGACAGTGGTGCTCGAGTTAAAATGTGAAAATATTCATTTAATGGTATTCTGTAGGGTTCTACATAAGATGAGAGTTTTCCTCTTTTTTTTTCCATTCATTTTATATGTCTTAGATGGCGGATCCAGATGGGGATTAGAGGATTCGAGCTCTATTAATAACCTCAGTTACCCATACCTCGGGTGTTTACAACAAATATTATACTCTTGGAGTTATAGACGGCCAAGGATTATCACATTCGAGAATTGAGGTGCTTATCCGGGGTTTTCCCGGCTCTGGTTGTGACATGCCCGTATAAACTGCAGAAGGGAGGCGAAGCATCTAAAGACAACTATGTGCATCGAATGTAAGCACAGTATATTTTGCCACAGAGCATAGGACAGAACATAGGATACAGGTATCACTCACGGAGAAAGCCACGAAATCAAGCAGCAGAGGAGCCAGACGATCCCAGGCTTTGTAATCTCGAGTAAGCGCGCAGTTCAGATAATGCTTCGGTTCCCCGAGAGGTTTAAAACCAATCTGGCATAACTTGCAGTTTATCTCCTCATTCCAGAGGAAAGCCGAGTCGCGGAGACCGAAGAGTGCTTGATTTGGAGTACAAACCTATTTGGTCAAAAAGCCGAGAAAGTATTGAAGAATGGTAAGGATAACAGCAAACTTAGCGAGAGCTAAACCATAGTGGCATTCTCATAAGAAGTTGGATCTCTTGTTCTATGCCTTCTCCGTGGGAAAAGTGACTTCTGAACTCGCTTGCCAACAACAATTGTTGTCGCGGCGCTCGGAAATCGGGCGAGGTGTTGATGATAGAGTGATATGAATTACCCCATCAAGCGACGCAAATTTGCAATCGCTAGTCCGGGATCTGGATCTGGGGGAATATGGGTTATAATTGCACCGGCAGGACTAAAAAGCCCGATAGCTGTACAGCCATTGAGGTTTTTTGTTCCTATTGACCGTATTCCATCGCGGAATGAGATAAAGCGGACGTCGTTCATCCCAACCGTCACGCATACCTTGAGCGTCTACCCAGGCCTCAAAATGAGCGCGAATGTCCTCGAGAGACGCCCCGTTAAATCGCACAGGATCTTGCACGATGGTCGACCGGTGTTTGGCCCAGATTTCGTTAGGCTCATTTGGTGGATATTCTTTGGTTTCTTGGAAGAATTCTTGCTTGATACAGCCCTCAATAACCCGAATAGCGTCTGGGAATAGAGTATCTGATTCAGCGGAGTAGGTAATGCGATATATGACAAATCCCCAGTCTGGGTAAGCGCCAAGGTTATTTCGGAGCTCGTCCATGTTGAATTAATTGTTTTGATTCGTTGTTGGTTGAGGGGGAAAGAGCTGAGGAAGGGAAAGAAAGTCTGGAGTCTTCTGCCACGAGCCAAATTGTCGTTACAGCTCCCCAACCACGGACCCACATCTCCAGGCTTGGGACCTGCCAGGGACATGATTCCACAGATCTGTTACATGGTTGGCTTTGTGGCACTCGACATGTGTCTAGCTTGGACAGCGAACCACACAGGCCAGGAGAAAATGATCCGTCTGTATCAAGCATGGAAAAACAACTATATCCATCCTATATTCCGACACTTTATCTTGGCTGCAGACATTATGGATTGTGCCCAGAGTGGTGTGCACGAACAAGAGAGAAAATAGATCACTGACGTACGGAACTCAGGATCGAGAACCCGGAACCGTCCTTGAAACACCTCAGACCCATATACCAAAAGTAAAAAGGGTACAGGCCGGATATGTGAAAAGAATTGGTTCGATGAACATGCACAGTGACTAGTTCAATCAAGAGAAAGAGTCCGAAAGCAAATAGTGTGCCTTACCCCACAAAAAATGGCAAAAAAGGACATTCCCATCCAGTGCCTGGGTTTATACGCCCAGGTCACCATCTTAGGGGATCATAATGCTTAAGTAACCCCAACCAGCTTTACCCTAAGATCTAGTCGTCCCCACCTGCAGGCACACATTGTCGGACCTCCAGGGCGCGCGTATCGATCTCGCGCACTCCAGCGGGTCCAGACCGGTACCACGCAAGGTGGGCAATTAGGGGAGCATAATTGGAACATTTATGACCGTTAACTGGGTGGGTCGAACGCTGACAGCTAGGACCTAAACTAGCATTTTAAACGCGTGTCAACACACTCAGCCACTGGGGGGAATGTCGGTTAGGGGGAAGGTGTTGCTATGAAATATATAGGAACAAACACTTCCTAAAGGGGAAGGTGGGTCCACTCCACCACATGCTTATCACGTGATTATATCTGAATGTACTATGAAGAAACCTTGTAATATACACCGTATAGACCTAGACATAATGAACTCGTGGCATCGTAAAGCGAAGTGTCCGCTCTACTTTTCACTTCTCCCTCACTTGACCTTCTCTCCTTCTTCTCAACTTCTCACCTTCTCAGCGTCTCATCTTCTGTTCGGTGCCCGAACTTTTAACTTTTAGGACGTGTCCGTTATCCCCCTCATAACCGGTGAGGTATCCTTTCCACGCCCTTGGTGTGGCCTTATTGACCATCCTGGGCCTTTTCTTCACTCAGAGATACCTCCTTCGCGCATATCAATACCCTTTCATACACGTCTTAGTCTTCGACTGAAAAAGGGAAGCGAGAACCGGTGAACAAGGATGGAAAACGTCTCAACACATCTTACTTTATATATGCCTCGAGTGCATGAAGCCGATACCTGGAGTTCCTGCGCAGCTTAGACAGTATTGGTCTTGAACTTGAACCTGAACTTGAAAATCCTCGAATACCTTCAAGAACACCCCACCATGGTTTTTTTCCTGATCTACCAGCTTTTTACCCTGACCTATTGACCCCTGGGGATCCCCGGTGTATCAGAAGCTCAACCCACACTTCGAAGCCCACGGCGATAATGAATAAGGCCCTTCGATCTAAGAATGACTCGGTGACTGATTACCAAGAAGTTTCCATGAGACAGAGCTGGTCTTTTCCTCGGAACCACACATCGGTTTTTCTTCGCCTATTGTCGAAAAGATTATGGACGCAACTGATCTTGATCTTGACTGTTTCGACCAGTTATATATATGGTATCGGTGTTGATGGAGCTTCTCGCGATTATTGAGTTTATGGATTTAAGTCGGGCTTCAATCAATAACGCTTGTGTGCGGATCGGGATGTTCACCAGAGAGGCCGTGAATGGCTCAAAACAATTGGCGCTGTCTATGAGGGAAAGCCAGCATCAGAGGACCACTTGGCTGAAATTGACATCATTCACAGCAGGGAGGGAATCATCCCAATACCTTAGACTTACAATGTGAGACCGAGTGACAAGCGAGAACCTGCAGAGGGTACTTTTTTCATTGATGCAAGCTCAGGGGCTGTTGCTGTTTATGTTGATGATAATCTTGTTCTCGTTTGAGAACAGAGTGAGGGCATTCTCTACATATGTAGTGGCTCTTGCTATCATCTTTTTACCGGACTTTTTTGAGGCATTTTCTAGGGTTTTGAGGATATGCCCGCTCACTACGAATTCTTAGTAGAGGACCTTCAATACGATCTATTTTTAGACCTTTAAGAGACTACATACATGCATATATGTATAAATGTTGATTCATGGCAGCTGGTTAACGTTGGCATGATGGACATCCATAGCTCGTATACTAGTGAGAGGCCAGCGCCATTTACTTTATAAAGCTCAGAATCATGATGTGTGATTGACAGAGTTCAAACAAAAAGAATCCGAGGCGAGAGAACTCATTTCGGCTGCACTATCCAACACATTCGCATAAGCCATATATTTGGCAACCCTGTGTGATTCTGGTCACATTTGTTACATTAATGATTTTTACTATGATGTTTGCACCATTGGCGTCGATGAGTTTACCTAACTGTCGCTTGAGCCGATAGTACACCACGGCGAGGAAACGCTCTATTAGTAGGCTTGTCCTTCGAATTCACAGAATCCGTCCAAGCTATTTCCCATGCCAAGAATATAGTTGCTGAACGTGCTTTGAATTGCTCATAACACAAGGTAAGGATACTCATATCAACATAGTATTAACTCTGTACATCATAGCCTTCGTCAAGATCACATTGCCCACTTCTCCCAAACAGGATCAAAAATACTAGAAACAACCTCCTGCACCGGCAACCTATGATCCACGATCTCCCTCCCATTAACCAAGTCATTCTCTCTAGCCCTCTTATCCGCCTCAACCTCATCCCTCGCAATCCCCGCCTTAACATGCCTAACCACCAACCTCTTCCTCGCAACCTCAAAATCAACATCCACAAACCAAAGCTCATCCATCAACGAAGCAGCCGTTTTCCACGGCTCCTGATCCAAGCTAAGATAATTCCCCTCAAAAAACAGCACTCGACAACTCGCCGGGATGGCAATATCCCCATCAACCGGATCCTTAATAGCATGGTCAAAGCTCGGCGCGTAGAGACTTCCCGTCTGGCCCGTAAGCGGCTCTCGCAGAGCCCGCACAAGCTCGAGGAATTTCTCGCCGTCGAAAGTAAACGCCGCACCTCTTCGTGCTGCCGCGTTCACCGGGTCCGGCATGGCGGCTAGCTGTGCGCGTGTCAGGTGGTACCCGTCCATTGGGAGGGCGATGGCTATTGGTGTTGGCATTGTGGGGTTTTCCGGGGCGTAGATTTTGTTAATCCGCGCTGCCATCATCGTTGCTAGACCTGTCTTGCCAGATCCTGGGATCCCGCTGATGGCGATCATTAGGCGCGCGTCGTCTGCTGTTGAGCAGAGTTTTGCTGGTATGGGTTGTTAGTTGGACGTGGTTATAGCGTTGATGGTGGGGTGGGATAGCAGGAGTGATTCGAGCTTGTGCTTGTTCTTGGATTTACTCACCCCAGGTCTTGTTGACCAGTCGGTCTACCTGTTGATCCATAGTTGGCTAGTGGTCACGCTGGGATCAAATGTGTATGATAAGAAATATCCGAGGGAAGGAAGGCCCTGAATTGGTTTGAGCAACGTGTTGTAGTACGCTTGAATGTTGCAGATCGGTGTACAAGGCAATTTTTGACACTGGATCTAACTACTTTGTATGTTATTTGCCTCTTTGAGTTGTTGGACTAAGCATAATTCCCCCGACCTCACATATTGGCGGGGCTCTCCAAGTGGGGACTGCTGTACTCCGAGAGATATACGTCACTGGACTTGGCAGGCACCGAAAGTAAATTTGTTCTATTTATGTCTGGACAGTGGAAGAATCAGAATACCCGAAGATATAAAAAGTTACAGAAGGGAAACGTTGAGGAAAGATAATATTGAAAATGACCCCCGAGGTGGCCGTTCGTGTCCGTTTGTCCAATTATCGACAAGTAAACCGGATAATGTAAGATTACAAAGCAGCCTCGAAAGGACCTGTCAACGCTGATATTCAAATTAGAAACCCGTAAAATCCGCCGGAAAACGCCCATTGCCAATATCGCCAATATCAAATCTCATATCATTCAGCATCACCACATGACTAGCAGTGTTCAATTGTCGCGGTTGGTTCGGGATGCGCCCTCGGTGTCGGTGGAGTCCATGCTCGCACTGGAACCACGGTCGAGAGTGCGTGCGAGGCCAGCCGCAGCCCACCAGTCGTCGGGAATATCCTCACGACGAGCAAGTCGGTCCAGGATGACCTGCATGTGGTGGAGGTCATCGTTCTGGTGACGATCGGAGAGGGAGGAATTTTGGCGGCGCGCGTCAGAGAGAGCAAGAACGCTTGCAGGGATGATTGTAGGGATAGGAACAGGAGGATGGTTGCTCATAGTCGAATGCTGATCGGGATAACGGCCTGCCCGTCGTCGTCCAATGAATTCCTGGAGAGTAGAGGGAGGTTCCTCATCATCGGAAGAGAAGTCGCAAGGATTGAGTTGGTCAGGATAAGGGTCAAGTCCGAAGTGAGTACGAGCAGCTTCCGCGGTCATCGGCTGCGTCAAGTTGACAGAGCTGCGAGGACGAGGGTTGCGCGAAATATCTGGAACGGCAGCAGAAGTTGAAGTGAAAGAAGTATTAGTTGATGGAAGAGTCTCATCGGGTGCAATGGTTGAGAGTAAAGTCTCCCACACAACGGTTTCCCGCTCTTCGTCTGGACTGGGACTGCGTTGGCGATCCCCAAGCCCGTCTACGACGGGGTCTCGGTTTGGCCGGGTTTGTGTGTTGTTAGACCGGTATTCAGGGATCTCGGGTGGGAATGAAGTATTAGAGGTGCGATCACTGTTGTATCTCTCACGCATAGGGGGGAGACGAAGGCCGCTGTCCGAAGGGGTCGAAGAAGCGCTGGTGTGGTATGCGATAGCGGG